TTGTTACCATCAGCATCCCTACGACGAAGGAAGCCTAAGGATCTTCGCAGGTTTAGACCCTGTGGATTTTCCCTCTGGTTTTCCCACAATAGGCTGTGCCTACTGCAGCTCCCTTCTTACAGAAGATGAAGCCATGCCATCTGTAGCGTAGAAACCAGCTCTCACAGCTGGCAATGCTGCTATCTGACAGATGATGGCCGACTTCCCTGCAGGCAGCACATAAATCCCTCCCAGAAGCTCCTACACCTTCATCCCTCTCCTAGGGCCTCCAAACACCCTGGAGCTTCAGAGTAGCTTCTCATAAAGGAAATAGCCCAATGGGAGAGGCCAGCGCAACACAGGCCCTCTTCCTCAGCCTAATAGGGACAAAAAATTGTCAAAGATGATTGGGGTGTGCGGCTTATGGAGGGGAGGGCCACTGTGCTGCAGTTAAGATCCACTCAGCAGGCAGCTACCCCTGCCAGACAAGCAAACTTTGGGGGAGAAGGTGCCAAGATTGTGCTTTTCTGGGATGTTCAGAAATAGGACAAAGTGGAAAAGGCAGCAGGCTTATTCCTAACTCTGCAGTAGGTTTCCTATCCCAGGGACAGAGGTCAGGGCTAGCAAGGGAAACTGGGTTTTTGCCAGGACATTAAAAAAAATCCCAAAGAAGAGTCTGTGGCACCTGAGTGCAAGGAGATGGAGGACTGAGGAGGCAAAAAGTTGTTCTGACTCTCCTGGGGGCTTCTAAGTATCTAGGGGAACAGTGCCATCCAGGGGGTGTCATCCTCCTCTATCCCAGCACTCCCAGTATAGCTGCACACACAAAGGGGGCTTTTCCTGGAGCCATCCCTCTTGGGCTTCTCCAAGACCCCTTTTCATGTGCCTTTCATTTTCTGTGCTTCCACCTTCACCCTAGGCTATCCCTTATCCATGCCAGGGTATCTCATTCAAGGGAAAGCCATTTAGTGGCTTTTTTAATCAACTTTGTGAGTGAAGAAACAGGAATTCTACTTTTCATATCCTCTTGCTCTGTCCCTTCCAGGCAAGCAAGAAGGATGGGAGATGCTCTCCCCTTCCCCCATGGCGGGGAAGGGGTCAGTTGGAGTGGGCTACAGAAGATCACATCCAGATCCCTTCCTCATACGAAGGGATGCATAAATAGGGAGCACAAAACCTACTGCACAAGGGCAGGCTAAACATGAGTGTGCATGGGGAGGAACAGACCCCTGATCTGTGACATCCATGGGGAGACAGGGACAGGTGAGGAACCCTTCACACTTCGGAGGTATCGGACCTTCCTGCCTCCTCCTCTACCTCCTTCTGTTGAGGACCTGATTTGCCCTGCCAAAGAGCACAGTCATACCCCCGCCATTCTCCCTCACTGGCAGATGACTGGCTCTAGGCAGGCCTGAGGAATGCCCACCACTCCAGACTCTCTGGGCATTCATCAGTAATAACATGGTGGGAGAAGGGGACAGAGCAGCAAGGACATAAAAACTGTTGCGAGGCAGATCTTTCCTCCCTCTGCCCTTCATACCTCCCCTGGGTGGAGGTTCATAAAGTATTTGGATAGAAAGCACAAGCCTAGGGAGCCCTAACAGAGAGAAGTAGAGAAGAGGAAAAGGAGATGGAGTGAGAGAACTTTCTCCAGCAAATCCCACCTATCTTAGAAGGGGATGGGAGGGTGAGAAAAGTCTCCACTGCCACAGGAAAGAGGGGAAAAAGTAGTGTGATGGAAGATCTGGAAAAGGAGGTCTATGAGGTGGGCAGAGAAGTTCCTACTAATTCAAGGTCCTCCCCTCCCACCCAAAAGAAAAATCAGCCCTCAAGTAGCAACAGGAACAGAAAGAGCAATATAGTTCACAGCCGAGTTTCATGCTCAGTGAGTGTCCTTCCCTGCCTTTCCACTGCCACTGCTGCCACCCCCTCCCGGGCCAGTCCCATCCCTCCACACTCCAGTGCTGTTACCACAGTATCAGAGCAGGCTGCTCTTTGCAACCATCTGCAGGCATTAACAATGGTCCCCGTAACACAGTAGAAACAATTCAGTATGTGTGTGTGTGAGTGTGTCTCTGTGTGTATGTGAGTTTTCTGTTGCTGTAAACTTTAAGAAATGATTTTGTCAGTTTTGTATTTGTCGGGAGTATTTTTTGTTGTCGGTTTATTTTTCACAGTCAAGTGGCATTTATTTTTCAGGTCATTGGGGATTTCTTGTTTTGTATTGTTTCCTTGGAAAGAGCGAGGGAGTCACAGCTTCTGCTGAGCAGAGACTCCTTTCCAATAATCCAGGATGTCATGCAGGTCCTCGTCCTTGGCAAATTGGACTTTCTTCCGCAGGGCATGCCCAGCCGCCATGTAAACCTCCTCCCTGTGGTGCTTCTTGTAAGGCCGGAATCGCTCCCAGATCTTGTGGGTGCTCTCTGATGAGTACTCTGGGCTGGAGGAGTAGCCCGAGAAGTAGTGTCTGGGGGAGAGCTGGGAGTACGTGGAGTCTCGCTTGGACCGGGAGAGCGGTTTTAGGAATGACACCCGCTGGCTCAAGGTGTCAGCGCTTTCCTCATAGTACAGGGCCGGGAAGGAGTGGCGGTGTTCGCTGCAGTGGTAAGAAGGCTTGACCTCCAAATGGTGGATGGCGCCCGGGGACACCAAGGGAAGACGATCCAAAGGACTGTTGAGTGGGCTGCCCTTCTCAATGTATTTGGAGTCAGACTTGCTCAGTGGTGGGTGGTCAGGCACATCCAAGCTGAAGACCTTGGCGCTCTTGATAGAGCCACTAGAGGAAACACTGCAAGTCTTTCTGGCCACAGCAGCATCTGCACTCAGCTGGCGCTGCAAAGGGTGGTGGGAACTTTCTTTGTAGGGTGGGGAAAGAAAGCTGGGCCGCTCTAGCCCACCCGAGGAACTGGCAGGAATGGACTGGCACTCAAAGGCCATGTCTGAGTCAACACCAGTCCCACCACCCAGAAAGGAGGCTGTGTCCAGCTTGAGAGCATCAATGCAGTTGTTGATGATCTGGTTGACCTTGTCTACCTCCTTGGCAATAGTAGAGATCTCAGCAGCTGAGCCTTGCCCATTGTCAAGCTCCCTCAGGTCCTCATCCCGCTGGGTCCGTTCCAGCCCATCCCCACCACCAGTCCGTACTTCAATGTAGTTGCCTTTAGTAGTGACTTTAGGAGTCTCCATGCCAGATTCCATTGATTTGGATGGGGGTAACTTCTCTCCAATCATGGAAGGGATGGAGGACATCCGTGAGACAGGGATGACTGGTGGCTCACCCAGCTTCTGGGAAGGGTGGACCATGGTACTTGTATCAATATCTGATCCATAACGCATTTCCAGGATGGTCTTCTTGACATTGAGGGACTTCTGTTTCTCCTCCTGCATCCTCCTCTTCCGCAGACAATAGTACACCACCCCAAGGACAATGACCATCCCAAAGAGGCAACCCAGGGTGGTCATAATGTAGTGTGTTGTAGTGGAAGTGCTGGAGATAGGGTCCTCCCTGCCTTTGCTCCTGGTTGCAAAGGTCAGACAAGTGTGGTTGTAGCGCCGGTTGTTGCGGATAGAGGCCACACAGAAAGTGTAATCAGTGTGGGCCTTCAGCTTATTGACAGTGACATATTCCTTCTTGCTCTTCAGTGTTGCAATGTCAGAAACGTAGCTGTTGTTGTACTGGACCAGCACATACATCTTACTGTAGGGCATGGGGATGGTTACCATCAAGATAGCTGAAGTGATGGTAACATCATGGAGCTTGATGCTGGGACTAAAGGAGGAGTCCGTGGTGGAAGAGGCTGGAGGCTTGACCGAGAGGAAGTCCCCAGGACTGATGGCTGAGCCCTCATCCAGGTCTCGCTGGGAGTCAGGGGTATAAGGGGTAGGGTTGACCCTGGACAGGGAGGGGATGGTGCCGCCTCGGCACATAGACTGAAAGATGGTGATGGCATTGCGGTTGTGGTGGGGCCGAGGCACCAGGAGCGGGTAACCGGCAAACTCCCGTGGAGTCTCACACTGAAGCCGGTCATAGTTCTTGGTGACATTGTTGAAGAGCGCCAGCCAGTTAAGAAAGCTGTAGAGGCTACAGTCACAGTTGAAGGGGTTGCCAGCCAGCTCACACACCATCAAATTGCTCAAGCTGGTGAAAGTGTTCCCTTCTAGGCGGCTGAGACGGTTAGAAGACAGGTCAATGCTAATCAGGCTAGGACACTCGGAGAAGGCAGTAGGGGTGACCAGCTCAATCAGGTTGTGCTGCACGAAGAGGAATTGGAGCCGGGCCATGCCCCGCAACATGCCCTCCGTCAGGTTGGTTAGTTTGTTGTAGCCTAACTGCAAGACCTGGAGGTTTGACTGGCCCATGAAAGCCCCGTCCTCAATGTAGGAGATCTCATTCTTGGTCAGGTTCAGATCAGTCAGGTTGCCGAAGCGGTTGAGGGAGGAGTACAGCACCACTTTGAGTTTATTTTCATTCAGACGCAAGTCGTGCACTGTGCTGTTGATGTGCTGGGGGATGGTCTCATACGGGGGCTGGTTCTGGCTGCAGATGGCCAGCCACACATAACCTTTGTCCCCCTCGATTAGCCAGCAGTCGCCTTGCACAGTGCCAGGGGAAAACAAGCAGAGCAGGGCAGCTGCCCACAACCCCAGGCACATCATGGTCTGCAGTGGCTCCCTCAGCAGGCCAAAAAAAAAAACCCAAAAACCCAAAAAACCCCAAATCCCACGACCACAGAAAAAGGGAAGTAAGGGGCAGAGAGAAGAGAAAGGGGCCAGTTACTAGAGGTTTAGCAGTGGAAGGGCATGAGCACCCCGGTCCTACTGGGTGTCGTCATCATCATTTCTTCTTGCTCTCTGGGTCAAGCCAGGAGCACAGAGCAGGGGGAACACATGCAATCCACTCCCAGCGCACCAAAAATCTAGGACAAAGGAAGGGTGGGCTGGAAGGGAAGTACCTTGTGCTTCTTTTCTAAATAAAAATTCAGACCATTGACAACAGATCTTCTTTGATGCTCAGGAGAGACTCCCTCACCTTTCCCACTTTCCTCCCTCCTCTTCTGTCGCTCACACTCCCTTGGTTCCTCCTCCTCCTCCTCTTCCTTCTCTCCCGGGTTCCCTCTGAAAAGCTTCAGAACTTCAGATCAAACATGTCGAAAACAAAATACAGAGAGGGAGAGAGCACGTGTGCACGAGAGAGATCCATCTGTCACTGGAATCTGGAAAAGAAAGCACACAGCAGACAAGAAGAGGCATCAGCTGGGGGGGATCTGAGATAAGAAAATACACTGTGAGGTTTCATGAGAAGGGGGAGATGGAGAAGAGACAGCATTGTTGGGGGTGCAAGCAAGGGAGGAGTGGGACTGCCTGCTGTGCTGATGAGTCTTTGAGAAGGGAACCCTCATGACATGTAATCTCATATCAGGGGTATGCAGAAGGGTACTTGGGCACTGTTATGTAATGTAATCATAGCTGGGGACGTGGGGGAAGGTGGCTGAGCAGAGGTAGAAGGGAAATGGGAGGAAGGCTGAGAAACATACGGCTGTATTGCAATCAGCTCAAAACTCCTAGTATAAACAAGGGCAAGCCTCAAGCACAGCCAAAGCCAAGGATTTTCAGCTATCTGAAAATCATGTGCACAGACTATATGGGGCATGGAAAAATGCATACAAGCCCCCCTCTTTTTTGTTTGTTTCCTCCCTTCCTTGAAGCAAGAGGGATAAATAAGTCAAGCCACGTGTAACCACTTGCGCTCTAAAAATTGTTCCTGTCTCTCCGTGCAGGGACAAAGCTGCTGAGGCAAGCCAGCCTGGCTTGAACGCAAAGAGGGGTAGGCGGTGTGTCAAATACTAGCCTCCAGTCTCTCGCCCAGCAATCCCACAGTCCTGATCTGAGGGATATCTCCCACTCACCCCTCACCAATGAGAAGCACACAGCTTCCTCCTCCTTACTTTGCCACCTCTCCTTGGTATCTGTGAACACTGTCCCTTCCTGGGGCAGGACACCTTGAAGGAATCAGGGGCAAAGTGATATTTGCCTCAATGTATCTCTGGGTCCTAGGCAAGCTCCTAGCACTCACTGGAAAGGGCAGCCTGGAGTACCCTTTCTTCTGGCTGCAGCTTCAACCCTTCTCCCACTATGCTGTGGCACAGCCTGGCAGAAGCATCCTTAGGCAATGTAAAGGAAATATTTTCATACAGCAGAGAAAAGATATGGGCACAGGGCTTTTTTTTTTTTTTTAATTTGGTGGTGGAGGCAGGAGGAAAACAATAAAAGACAGAGAAAAGGACTCTTGGTTACTGAAGAATAAACATCCTCTCTTGCCCCTTTTATTTTTAGGGGAAGCTGCTCCCTAAAGATACTGCCAAAGCTTTTGCTGCAAGAGCTGAACCGGTTTCTAGCACAGAGACACAACGGGCAGAAATAAAATGAAGGAAGATAAATGAAGGAGGAGTGAACCCTTGAGGAACAAGGCTTACGTCTGTGTAGAAATCTGAGCTGATTTGGGTCTGTGGGATTACTAGGCCAGCCGGATTAAAGGATCAGAGAGAGTGTCACAGAGAAACACTTAAACATTCAATAATCCAGAAAGGAAAGCCAAGATGGAGAAGGGGAAGGAGAGAAGAGCTTGACCAATGGAAAAGACAGAGAGAAAGCATCTGCTCCCCACCACTAGTGGGCCAAGACTGTAAAACTCATGTCATTTTTGACTGTCTTATCATGGCCTCTGGCTGCTGCCTTGTGTCCAGCTTTGCATCAGCCAGCACTGAAGCAGAAGGCAGAGGTTTTTACAGTCTATCGCATTGTTTCTCAGCCTTTTAATCCAATGAGAAATAATTTCCTGACACTAACATCCTCCTCAGGTGCATCAGAGAGGAGGCACATCTGGCTCTCCACAGGCCAGGACCCACAAACTTCTGATATTCCTCAGGACCAGTCCCCTGCCTTGTCCCACTGTTTCCAGAGGTGGCTCCATGCAGAGATACAGCCAATATCCCACACTGTCTCTGTCCTTCTATTTTCCATTTTCATGCTCTTTCACCTTGCCATGTCTCTTCCAGAGAACAAAAGAGTAGCAGGTACTAGCATGCTCTTGGCACAGTGATACCCAAAGTATGTCGACTCCAGAAGCAGCCATGGGCAGCACCTGAGCAGGCAGTGGAAAGCTTTGCCTGGATTTTTCTAGCCAGCATTATGCTTTCTGCTCTCTGAGCATTATGCTTTGACCTCTCTGTATCTCTACTCCAAATGCCCTGCACAGCATACAACTCCATGCAGGGAGGGCCAAGCCCCTTTGCTTTGACCCCTTCTGAGAGCACAGGCTGCTCCAAATGCTGTGCTGAAGTCACAGTTGCCTGTTGCAGCTTGCCCACAGTTCACAGGCGACAGCTAGGAGGCCAGCACCACATTGCTCTGTGGCAGCCCCTGCTGTCACTGAGACCACTGACCCACTCAGGGAGCTGTGTTCAGGCAGCATGGGGAGGACTGGCAGGGGAGACAGCCCGGCAGGGTTGAAAGGAAAGAGGTGGCTGGATTAAGGGATGGAGGGAAGGAAATGAAGGTGCTTTTTATGCTGCTTGCTATGTGCCAAAAAAACAAATGGACTGCGGAGAGAAGACTTGCTTCCATCCATTTTGGCTCTACAACTCGCCTCAGCCACTGACCAAAGAAGGAGCCAAACATCCTCAGATTGATCAGCATGGCCTCAAGCTAGACTTGTCAGCCCCCTGGATTCCCAAGTTGCTTGTCATACAAAACCATGCAGAACCTGCTGTTGTTCCCCCAACTGCGCCGGTCTCCCAGACGTGGCACTGGTTGTCAGGACTCTGAGGGCACTATCCAGCCTTTCTGTCCTGCCTAGCTTCCCCTGTGGCCTCCTTCCACCCTGCCCAGGACCCCAGTTCAACTCAGCCTGGGGCTGTCAGTCCCTGCCCCAGCAACGGCGTAGTGATGCCAGTCCCCTCCTCCACCACAGCCCTGCCCCTGCCTGGCCCTGAACTCCACCGATCCTATTCCTGACTGCCAGGTCAACTGCCCAGCCTTGGCCTGGCTCCATCACCATGGTCCTACCTGGAATCACAGGGCTTTGTCTGACTCTGGTTACCCTCACTGGGCCTAATCCTGACCTGACTTCCTGGCTCCCTGACACTAGCATTCACAAGAAAGGGGAGCCAGGGATGGGACCAACACCATCCATTCCCTCAGCGATCCAGAGCCAAATGAACGTAAATCAGGTACCATCAGAGTCCAACAACACAAGGAAACAACAACACAGTGTCCTTACTGCTGACCCAGAAGGTGCTGACACCAGACTTGGCATGTCCCTCCCTGGCTTCTCAGAAGACACAGCAAGACAATGCAGGGATGGAGGATGCCAGAGAGAGAAGGAGCAAGCACCTCCAGCTCCAAAGAAAGCCAAGGAAGGGGGAGGTTTGAGCTGTGGAGAGCCCGGTCTGGATGGAGTCTGTCAGTACTGGTGAGGGGAAAGGGTGGGACAAGGGAAATGCTTTGTAGGGCAGTTGCAAGACCACCACCCTCACGTGCTGGGCCTGCCCAGCTATCGGCTTCCAAAACTGTTCAGTGGGTAACCCAAGGTGGCTCTTACAACTGTCCCTTGGCTCCTGGCCATTGTCACACATCAAGAGAAGCAAGGAACAGCAGTGGCATTGTGCCCATGAGTGGCTGTACCCTCCTGGGTTGGCACAGAGTCAGTCCATGAGCTCTGAACTCCGCAGGATTTTCCTCTGGATTATTCCCCACTACAGGATGGCCCAATGTAATTGGCATTTCCTTGCACCAGAATATTTGGAGAACAGAAAAAATCTGGCTGCAGAGATGGTTGTGCTTTTCTGAGGAGGAGAGAGCAGGGAAGTTTAGAGCAAAACGTCTCCAGGAGAGCGCATTCAGGAGAGCCCTGAATCAGGGTCAGGAGCAGGATGTCCTGATATCCACAGACAACCCTTTGGCTAAGGGACCAAGGTGTTACAGGTGTTGACACAGGAGTACAGGCACTAGTCAGATAGCCTGGTGTAAGGACAGGTTAAAATGCAACTACCAAAAGTATAGACAGGGAAGGTATGGGGGACAGAAACAAAAAGGAGGGTTGGAAAGACCATGACTGAGGGAGTGGGATAGGAGGCCTAGGGGGCACAATGTGAAAAGGCAGCCAGAAAAGCAACATATGGCAGCAGTTCAGGCCTGCAATCCTGACCTTGCTAGCCTTGGCCTCCTGGGGCCTGACACAGTGTAAAAGTCAGCACTTAATTCTACCATTGCTTAAATGGTGCTAAGAGCATCCCGTTAGAAATGCATGCATTAAAAACCTGCCAAACACTCTTGGCTCCTCTGGGGACAGCCCAAAACCAGGTCAAGGCTCCTGCTGCTTTCTTCATTTTTTTTACTGAAGCTGGGCATCAGTCCTCCTCCCAGCTCAGGACCCTGCCTGCTACTGGCAGGCCTCAGGGCACAAATGCCATCCCCAAGGGGGCACTGGCTCTCCTCCCCTGGCTTCAAGACCCTTCTGAGATTTCTCTAACCAATTCCCAAAAGAGGGGATCTGCCTTTTCTGGTGGTACTTGCTACTGAGAGTTGATGCCATACCTGAAGGGACAGCGCTGCCTAAAAGTCTCCATGCTTGCTAGATAGTTTCTGTAATACACACCGGTGTGTTGGCATCACTGCAACTGCTTCAGACCATTGTGCTTCCCTTGTCCTATCAGGATGACCAGAGAGGGTCCTTGCCTTTGCCCCTGGCTGCAGTGAAAAGGCACTGCTCAGGGAGAGGCTCGCAGCACAGGTGTGGCACTGCACAACAGCACCTCCTTCCTTCTCTGTCTCCCCTGCTCATATTACAGGAGACACATCAAGCCAGGCAGCAACAAATCTGTGGCCCTAGAAGTCCTACAGTGGGGCTCTGTAAAGGTCTCTCTATCTCTATCTATCTCTCAATTCTTTTTTCCATTCCACTCTTTTCACAAAACACACTAAGATCTTTGAGATCTCCATCACATCATCACATTTGTTTGAAATTGGCCC